TTATAAAGGGCATTAAGTAAGTATATATTATTATATTAATTATAAATCTAGTATTTAAGGGTCCTGCATAAGCTATTTACTTGCCTTTATCTTTAGTAGTAATACTTTATATTTTAGCTATAGTAAAGGTACTGCTTAATAAAGAGCTTAATAGAAAATATAAAAATAAAAATAATAAAAAGAAAATAAAAAGAATTTATTTTATTTTATATTTTTAAAGATAAAAAAAAATAAAATTATAAAAAAAGTTATTATTAAATTATATTTAAATTTAATTTATTTATTTATAAAATATTATTTAATAAAGTATTATTTATTTATAAATTTAAAAAGCTATATAAATTATATTTAAGCAGCATTAAGTAAGTGCTATAAAAGAAAGGCAGTATATTAGGCAATAAAGAAGTTAAGATATAATTAGCTAAAAATTAACTATTATCCTTTAAGCTTAAATAAATATTTTATATTATATTAATAAACTTTAAGTCTTTAGCTAAAGATATAAGATAGAAGGCTTAATATAACTAGTTAAAAGTTAATTACTATAAAAAAAAAAAGGTATAAAAAAAAAGGACTTTTTTTTATAAAAAATAAAGAAAGGGCAGAGATAAATATAGTCTTTTAATAATATCTAGCAGCTATCTAGTAATAAAAATATACCTAGCCTTACTTAATTCTCTATTACTCTTCTTACAAGACCTGGATTGTAATATATAAATAAAACTATTACCTCTTTAATAATAATAGCTTTTTTTCTTTAAACTACTATTATATATTTTATTTTATTTAAATAAAAGACTAATATAAAATTAAAGCTAGTATTTAAAATATAAAGTATTTTACTTAAGTAAAGTTTTTAAATTTCTTTATTTATAAGGGTTTTTAAAAAATAATTTTTAAATTCTTTTAAAATTAACTTAATTCTTTTTATTTTAATTATTAATAACTTATTTAACCTAAAGTATTTTTAAAAGTATTCCCTTAAGTAAATAATATAGTTAAAGGCATTATTATTTAAAATAAAGGCTGTAAATAAATTTATTTTTATTATTATTGCTTTTACTACTTATAAATATTTAAGTTAAACTTTAATTAAAAGGAATTTATTTATAAATATATTATTTATTAAATTTATATTCTATAAAAAAGCTAAAGCTATATTTTTTTTATTTAATATATTATTTATTATAAATATTTATTAAATTATAGTCTTAAGTCTCTTTTTCTTACTTTATTTTATAACTCTAGCTTAAAGTTTTAAATATAAATAAAAGCATTTATCTTTTATATATTTTATTTTATAATAATATTAATAATAAAAGCATTATTTAATACTTATAAATATAATACTAAAGTTTTATTATTTTTATAATAACTCTTTTTATTATATTACTATAACTATTTATTTATAAATAATAGCTTTTTTTATTATTAATATACTTAATTCTTTAAGCAGTAGTTTATTAAATTAATAAAAAATAAATAAAAAGTTTTTATAGTTATTATTTAATTTAATAAAAAACTTATTAATAAAGTTTAATATTTTAATTTTAATAATTTTATTTAATTAAAGAAGTTCTTTATATAATTCTTAAAGTTATTAAGTAAAATCTATAATATTAATGCAGTCTTTAAATATTAAGGTTATATATTTTTAATTTAAGTTTTAAAAAATTATACTATCTATAGGTTTATAAGCAGTTTTTAATTTATTTATTATTATAAATATAATCTTCTCTTTTTTTATATATTTATAAAATAAAAATATAAAATAACTATATATAAATATAATTATTTATTTTTAATAATTTTTTTATTCTTTTACTTTTTTTTTTAAAGTTATTTTTTTTTTTTTTATATTAAAGCTTTTTTTTAAAAGAAGTCTTTAAATTTATTAATTTTAATTATTTTTTTTATTTTCCTTTTTTAAATAATTTAATTATTTAAGGACTTAAGTAATTTAATAAAGGCTTTAGCCTTTTTAAGCTTAAAGGTCTTAAATATTTTAAAAGACTTATACTTTAATTACTAATCTATCTTTTATAACTAGGTTTTTAAAACCTAATAAAGGACTAGGGCTAGAACTAAAGCTTTTAACTTCTAGGTTTTAAATATTTTAGCTAAAATTTAATTTATAAAGTAATTTTTTAATAGTTAACTAGCCTAAGAATAATATTAAATTAAAGGTTAAAAAAAAGAAGTATAAGCTTTTTTTATAATTAAACTTAAAAGCATTAGCAGGGGTTTTATTAATATTTATAGTTAATTTAAAGAAGTAATTTTTTTATATAAACCTTAATTTAATAGCTAGTTAAAAGGGCTAGAGTTAAAGATTATAATAAGTTTTTATCTTTTTTTAAATAAATATTTAATATATAATAAATAAGGTTTTTTAATAAAAAAAAAAGCTATTTTATTTTTATTTTATTAAAATAAAAGGTTATTTTAAAATATAAATCTTTTATTTTTTAATAATAGTATTAATTATTATTATTTTTAATTAATATAGTAAAAAAGCCTATTAATACTTTATATAGTAGATTAATTATTTTAATTAGCAGAGATTTAAAATTATATAATTTCTCTTGTTTTTAGTTAATTTAAGGTTAAGGCGCTGTCCGGGCTTATAACCTGTTAATAAAAAAAATAAACAATAGAGGTTAAATTAATTATATTAAAAGGTTTTATTTTATATAGGGGAGAAGTTAAGAGACAGGACCTCTTATATATATAAAATCTATATAACCTACGTAGTAAGATCGGACTAGCGCTTCCTTGTTCAACAGTAATAACGCTAGACTAAACAGCATAGCATATATTAACTAATCTCAAATTATCTTCTCAGTAACGTCACCAAGTATAATGGCGAAAAAAGCCGATGATGTTTTATATACCAATCATTTAGTAGCAAGACGTGCTAGAGAACAAAAGGGGCGCGTGCATTATAATTAATAGACTTAGATACTCTATTGTGGTTGTGGAGATGAGTAGACGTAGGTAACAGTAACGCGCTCCTGCTTTGGGCAAACTGTGATTTTGCAGCCGTATTTGGATGTAAATTCTCTCTGACGCATTAAAAACAAGATTGCTTTTATACCGACACACTTAATGTACCGTCTAAGCTGCCGGATGCCGTTAACTTCCAAATCTTTATCTCGGTATGGCTTTATCTCGAAGCTTGGGAGGGTTGCTACGAGTCCTAACTTTATTAAAGAGTGAGGCAGAGAGACAAGTATATCATCTCATAGTTCCTCTATCGAGGATAAGATTGATACAAAAAAGAAATGAAGAAGAAACGCAAAACCCATCACAATAATGCATCTTTAGCAGCCAGAGCTGCAACCCTCGGGCTAAAGAGGCTTTTAACCTGTCAGATTGGTAGTGTAGTATGTTTACAAGTCTGAATCACTTCCGATGTAGCGACGGAGAGCTCAAAGAGCACGTCGGAAACGAAAACCGAAGCGCATTCAAGAGCTATGATAGTCACTTATGGATGCAGCTGGTGAAATTGAGACAATGAACCAGGGGCTTGAAGCGCTGAGGCTAAAAACAGACTGTTGAAAACAGTATGGTGGTACAGTAACTATGTGGACACGTCATAGGCTATTGTTGGTCCACAGGGAGAAAGTATGGTGGTCACGGCCCCTGAGATTGCGAGCGATGGATATTCAACAGGTTCTTTCCACGACGGTGCGTCTATCTTTTTCGTGTTTGGAATTGGCGGCGTGTATGTGGTCGTTCTAATGTCCAATTCTATAAGTAGATTGTGAGGTAGAACGCGATTTTTAGTTATTTAGCTGATTTTGATTGAATGTGAGGGCCTCTTCTTCCCCGCTAACGATCGATGCTTATGCAAGGAGAGTGTCAAATCAAAAGAATTTTCTGCTTACCACATGAGATACGTACAATAGTTTTTGTCATGACTTGGTGAGCCATGTTATACAACAAGGCAAGAGCATCTATCAATCTTCGACTGTTAACACGACTGATTAGTATTGCCAGATAATAAATGATTTAATCTACAAGTGCGGTATACATTAGAGTAACACGCGCACCTAAGAGTGATAGAAGTCAAATGTAAATTTGCTGATTGGTACCACGACATAGAGTCTATATGTACTCCCTCCTACGGAGTTGGCACTTTGTGCTCGGCTTTTCTTTTCTCCCTCATTTTACTCTCTCCGTTCTATGTCCGGATAATATTGAGGTGCTTCTTGCCGATTGTACATCCCGTAGTCTCTTATAACTCTTCCTCCACGGTATCTAATATCCTCTTGCTCTCCGTGTGCTTCAAGAAAGTCGCATGCAGCGTTAGCGGTAGTAAATGACAGATAGGCTATAATGTCGCCTGGGTCAAGTACAGCATTGAAAGCACTCCAAGACACTAAACCTTCTACTTTGTTCAATTCTAAGCAAAGATGTCTAAGAATCTCTTCTTGGCTTGTATCTTGTAACACTGTTTTATCCATGCTAACAAGCACAACTGCTTCTGCATCACCTGCGCGCGTGGCGTCTAGTCGCTGTTCTTGTATCTTATATCCGTCTGGTTTGTGCGTATCGGCCGTAATTTCGCAGATTTTCAATCGATAGTTTAGGAAAACTTCCTTCCTCCCTTTCTCCTGGGCAGTGTGATGGAGACCCTGAGTTCGCCATCTAACTAGTGACTTTTCATCTCTCCAAGTAGAGAGCGATAAAATCCAGCCAGGCTGGGTCAGAGAGCTATATCGTATATTATCGATAAAGCCATCTACTTGGAGCAGTTCTGGCCTAAGCGTTTTCCCGATATCAAGATAGAGAGACTTTTTTTCCACGGAAGGATGCACTTCAAAGAGTACGGTGAACATGGTAGTTGTTGTGGCTGCTGCGACTGTTGTGATTGATTGCCGCGTGACTGGGGGTGGTGATACAGAGACTTTTTGAATTCTAATGTTTGTTTTAGACAAATAATGAGAAACAATAGTAGGAATGTCCTGGGTGTTATATTTTGCTGCATCAGAGGAGGGCCGTGATACATTCACAAAGAGAATGCAATTTAGCGCTCTCTCTCAAATTCCACATCATGGAAATTTGTAAATATGGGGCAGCTGCACTGAGCGTGAATTCTACATAATTGTTGCCGCTTCGATACCGTTAGTTGGGCTGTGAAATTTAAAACCGGTTTTCTTCCTCTGCGGTGTTGCTTTAGATGTCAATACTCACGCTCCAATTAGTCGCCTTTTCATTTACCCGAAGCAAAGCTGACGTACTTGCAACTCTCAAAAGATTCAATGCGATTCAATATATAAGCGTTTTTTGAAATTATAAATACTACCATTTGACCATTTATTTGGAAATAAAAGACCAGAACTGTTTCATAAGACGCATATTCAAAGCATATCAACAACAATCTTTAATACTATGGCACTGCGACACATTGCCACAAAGAATGCTCCAGGCGCGCCAATCCCAGGACTGGTATGACCATGATACTCTACATGCTGTTTTCTCCTGTTTTCCATCTTGTTTTCATTTCTCCTTACAATCAGTCCATAGTTTCTGACAAGCTTGGTAATAGTTCGCTCAGGGCGTAAGGGCAGGTCCGTTCTTATGGACTCAAGGTACTCTAGGTGCACTTCCAGACGGCACTATGGTTGAAGGGACCGTACGTAATACACTATGACTCGGTCCATTTTAGTGCCACACATACTTATACAGGTTATGTACAGATCCAAGATCGTACAAGACAAGTCATTAAGAACATTGAAGCAGTGCTATCCGCTGATGAGATGACATTAAAAAATGTGGTGAAAGCAACCATTTACATCAAGAATTTTGATGAAAATTTCCCTCTAGTTAATCAGGTTAGTAGTCGTATGCCGATGTAGTATATAAAATACTAAGCAATGTTAGGTATGGGAAGAAATGATGCCCGAGCCACGTCCTACCCGGATGTCATTAGGCGTTGCTCAATTGCCGGCAAATACAGATATAGAAATGGCAATGATAGCGTACAAAGTTTAAGCCTTGTATATCCTTGACGGAATATTATCTTGAAAAATATAACTATTGCATTTAAGTAGCCCAATTTGCATTGCCTTTTTGGCAACACATGTTTGGTACAGGTGGAGTACTATATAGTGCTAAATGGGAATGTACTTATATTTCTACACGAGATATTTCAGGAAATGGCGATAAACCCGTTGGGAGCATATCTGATTTACACTATTACAAATATCGTAGTAACTTCCGCCTTTCCGTCTAAGACAGCCGCTGGCTGGTGGTGTCTTTAATATGCTTGCTCAAATTGGAAAGAGTATTGGCAGCGCTTCAAAATTAATCCTTTCGCAGCAAGTGACAGCATTGTCACATCTAACAAGTACGAATGAAGCGCTACTCCAGGGCTACAAGACGGGTTGGTGGTATAACAGCGGGGTTGGATTTGCAGCGGTACTGGCAAGCTTCTGGGGGTTCAAGAATGTCGGTAAACTGGGAGTCAAGATTGAGTAAGTGAATTCTTGTCATTATGTATATATATTCTATATACTCTTTTGGATGAGTAGCTTGTATACGCGTAATCGCATCTCAACCTGGAAAACGACCGCCGAATGTAAGGGATTCATCAAACTTGACGTAGCCTTTACCTCCTTCGACAAAGGTATTGTTCCAGTTCCCTTGATCTTTTTGTTCTGCCAACCTAAGGTAGTGTTCGCCATGAGCTTCGGGGCTGGGATTGGCGTATCTGGGCGTCCCATCTGGTTCACGCTGATCGGTGTGGTAGAACCTATGTAACTTTGTTAGTATTGCCCGTTTGATCACAACTCTGACACCTACTTATAACCAGCGGATTTATACACTTCCGATAGATAGTGAATCATATGTGCGGATGCCGATTTTCCCATTCCAAAGGAAAGTAAGGGCTCCATTGCCATCAGATGCAGTTTATTACTGGTGTAAATGAACGTCTTGGAGGCATCTGGTGGCAATTCTGCAAAGCCTTTGACTGCCAATTGAGCGGCAGCATACCTATAGACTCAGTTTAATAAAATTGCATTATCCACTCACGGTAACATGTTCGCATACGCAGAAAAAGTGTTGATATGAGTATCAGTGATTACAGAGGATAATGGTTCATCGAAACCCTCTAGAGAATAAACGAAGGCTATCAGAGGATATATATGTCAGCTTATAATCCGCTCATTGTTTAGCCAAGCACACTCTTACCATTATACACAACCACGCTTGGTATCCCTAGCTTACTCCTGACCGTAGTGAATACGCCCTCGACTGAGAAGGCATCCGACAAGTCTGCTTGAATCCATAAGTAATCGTCGCCAGGTTCAATTGCTTTGTTTGAGCGAGAAACCACAGCAACTTTGTAACCATTGCGGGCAAATGCGCGAGCTACACCGGCACCAATCCGAGGGCCAAAGCCAAATATAAGGACTATCTTATTCATTTTGTTAGTCATTTTGTATACCTCAGCGCTCTCGGGGAGTTTTCGAATTTTAATGTGACGTTGCAAAGGCAATGGGAATTAATGTTATGATGGACGAGGTAGTATGAGGATATACCTTGAGAGGGACATTAGAGCAATTATAATCGTACGAAAGCTGCATACCGCTTACGCAGCCAGATCATTTATGATTACTTGAAGCAGCTGAAGAACCTCGCTCGACTGTTTTATAGTTTGGCGCTTACATGCTAACTCGCCATAAGCACCGAGACCGCCTATAGAAACCCAATGGGATGTCTGACAGCCTATAAGCTGAGCTTCCATAGCGTGGTTATGGCGCTGGAATAATAGTTTGAAAACAGAGTTGGGCGACGGTGGCTTATGACAATGAAAGATACAGCATGGTTAACGGTACTATATATTACACAAATCAACCATCCAATGCATGCATTAGTATATTGATAGCTAAAATGATTCTTCAAAGCTCTCCTCAACAAAGGCTTTTTTGTTGGTAATTTTATTCAACATTTCAGTCTACAGTATCGACTTCATCTACAAAGGAGGATAGTTCAACTTTACATACTCACGGAAACCAGTTGGCTTCCGCCCAATCAGCCGCTCCAAGTCGCCCGTTGTCTCCTCGAAGTCGCCATCATTCATTGTCTTCACCCAGGCAAGCCTGAACTGAGGCATCTGCTTGGGTGCATTTCTAAGCCCATGCCACTTGAGATATTCCTCTTCGCTAACATTCTCGGAAGACACCGCCTTGCCCTTGACTTTGCTTAGGATGTCGGCAACCTCCGAAAACGAAAACGCTTCGTCGCCACTCAGCTTATACGTCTTATTCTCGTGTCCAGGCTGCGTCAGCACTGTGACATTGGCTGCTGCGAGATCGTCTCGCGTCACGGGCGCAGTCTTCCTGGCATTGCCAAATGGCATGCGAACGCCTTCTTCAAGCGCATTGGAACCAAAATACATGTGAAGCGTCTCCAAAAAGGCTGGCTGCATCATGATGGTGTATGCCATGCCGGATGCGCGCAGGGCCTGCTCGGTGAATGTGTCGCTCTCGGTGATGTCCCACAGCACCACGCCCGAGCCCTCTCGGCGCTGGATCGAGGTGTAGACAACGTGCCTCACTCCGGCCTGTCTCGCAGCCACAATGACGTTGAAGTGCTGCTTGATGCGATCGGTGAAGGCATGTGCGCCGATGAACATGATTTTCTCAACGCCTTGAAAGGCAGAAAGAAGCGAGTCGTAGTCCAGATAGTCCGCCTTGTGCACCGAGACCCCCTGGTCGACGAGGCGCTTGAGTTTGGAAGGGTCTCGGGTAATGACAGCAAGCTGTGAAGAGTCGGGCACCTTTTCGAGAAGAAGATCAATTGTCTTGCGGCCCAGATTCCCTCCCGCGCCTGTAACCAAGATCTTTCCTTTAGTCATTGTTTCGATTTTTTGTCGAGTGGTGCAAAGAATTTTAAACTGGTATAAGTTAAGGTTATGGTCAATTGATGCTGTCCAGAAACAAATATTGATGAAAACAAACTGACAGTCTGTATTGAAGAATCCTGATTTACGCAGACAACTACCTGGAATGTTTTACATCTACACTTTATATATGCCTCATCTCAATACTCCATTTACCTGTAATAGCTGGCTCGGGATAAGTTGCTCTCTCTTTGTAAAATCAACAGCGAAATACACGGCCTTGCCAACAAACTGAACTATGCTAAATTCCACTTAAACCTGTCGCGGCTTAGTCAACTCGCTCTTCGGCATTCGTCTCTCGGAATTTCTTGCCTTCTGTAGATTTTCAAGTCAAACAGGTTCAAGGCTTGATTGCTCGTCCACTAAGATCCGTAGATTTCTCTTTGTTAGCATTGGTCATCATATCCTTTTCTTAGATATCGTTTAAGCCTCGCTTATTATTGTGCACGAGCATTTGCCTACCAAGCGCACATTCGTCTGTCTTAGATACTCAGCATTCGTAATGGACTACATGGGAAGTCTGCTGCGGATATAATGACATGGATAAGCCCGCTTTGATGAAATCGCTCCAAGGTTCATGGCCAAAGCCAAGCCTATTTGCTTCAAATGATTTGGTCTTCTGATAAATGCTCTCAACAATCAGATCACAGGTGCCATTATTGTGACAAAAGAAGTCTAGTGTGTTTCATAATAATACAATGGATTGTGAGAACTTAAAATGCTGCAATTCTTAGCTGCACAATAAACACTTACAGACTTATAAAAGACCAGTTGTAAGGATCAAAATACAGTTAGCCTTCTGAATGAGCTGGTTGCCCCTGGTAAAATCTCTACGTTGCTAGAAGTATATATACCTCGTTATAATTTTTTTAAAAGACACTACAGAATAAATTGAATAGGTACAGGATGTAAATTGTATGGGCTTGTCCAATGTTCACTTAAATTTGGCGGTTTGCCATAGACTAGTGCGGATCGAGAACATTGCCAGTCACAAGAGCGCTCGCAACCAATTGAATGCGATTTCGGTCAAACTTTTACTAGAAGGGCCAAAATAGCTATTTTCATCATTCATTTTGCTCTCTTCTTTCCAACCAACTTGAGTTGGCGATATCATCAATCACAGAGTTCAATGACAACCACGTGACATTCCCGAAGTCGGCGCCACTCTTTTTAGAAGCTACTAATAAATGATGTGCTGTGTCGGATAGATTGAGTCAGTTATTAGACAACAAAAGAAACTCAAGTCAAGATGGTCAACCACGTAAACTCATTCGACTCGGTACCGCAAGAGCTGGTAGAACTACTTACTGCCGAGTTGCCATATTCGCTCCCATTATTACGACGACTGCAATTTACAAAGTTCCCGCATGGAACTTCTCAACATGCTCGAGTCATCTTTATCTCAGATGCAGAACTTTCATCCCGGCCTGATGCATACACAGCAGCATATCTGGACTTTTCAAAGACAGGAACTCAAATGTACATATATTCGACTCTAGAGCATCCTCGCAACAGAGATGATACAAGTAACGGTGATTTGTACGAGCAACAACTAGCGGCAATGGTACAAGAAGTCATTCGTTTGCGCAAAGAATACGGACAAGAGTTATTGTTTACTAATCCAGATCGGATATTGATTGGAACTCTACACTCGGACATTCGTTCCATCCTAGAAAAGTTTGAAGGCAGAGTTGAGGCTAGGCCAACAGGCATTTATGATAAATGGCTCATGAAGAGAGACGAACTGCCTCCTCCGGATGACAGCCTTCCATCAGGAATGTATTGGGATAGTGCAAGTCTTGATGACTGCAGCATTATCGTCTCTCGGACTGATATTCCGCGAACCAGTGAGGAGCTTGTAGTTCTCCCAAACCTTACGATAAAGCGAGAAGACAAGACACCGATAGTATGGGCTTTACTGGGGACAGACGCAAGCATCATTTCAGTTCATTGTGAGGTTAGTAATACGTAAGCGCTGTTCTCCTTTCAACTGACTAATAAATTAATAACTAGGAACCTTATAGACAGCGAGGTCTGGCTAAGAAGCTAGCTGCGAAGCTCTTGAGAGAAAAGTCGTCCCTGTATGGTGAAGACGGGCTTATGTCTGCCGATGTTAGCCCCACAAATATGAGCAGTCGCGCCATGTGCAAGTCGTTGGGTGGTAAACCAGACTGGACTACATCTTGGTGAGGATCTTTGCCCATTTAATCGTGTTTGTGGAGAGAATACTCGCTAATAACGGCTCCGGTTATAGGATTTGCCTAATCTTGTCAGAGCCAGGAACATCCGCAAATCTTAATTGTAGCTGAACTGGATGGCCCGGTGCGATTATGGTCCCGCACAATTGAGGGCTCAATGTTACTGTAACTGTAGACGTCTTACCAATACAGATACTACAACTCGGACTTCGGATACGCTCGACATGTAGCGAAGGGGGAAATAGAATACTAATAGACAAATATTTTCATGTGACTGCGTTTCTCCCCTTAGTTGCCATTTATTCTGTCCCGCGAATAACCACCCTCACACACAGAAATATGGACAACGCAAATTTGCATGTAAGCTAGGCTCACTGTAGATAACTATCCAAAAAAGGTAATTTTTGCTTTAATCCGCGTCCTCTCAATCTCGGCGTCATCATTCTTCATGATACCCAGCAACAGAAGGAGAAATAATTGATGACATTGAGCTTGGAGCAAGGTTCGTGGAAGATTTAATCCCTTGAATCGAAAACTACCGGCAATGACGCATAAGCCAACGGCAGCCATGCCATTCAGTGAAATGAGAAAACAACAGAAGGTAGTAACATGGTAATTCCATACCAGCTTGCGTGAGATGACAAAAGGAAATTGAGTAATTCAGCTTCCGGCATCGGAAGTGTTGTTTATAGCGCAGTGACGGATCCTGAAGGTATGTAGTTATATTTCTAGATATGAACACGGAATTCGGAATATGGAGCATGTTTGACGAAATGGCACTCTGTATGAAGCGCAAGTACGGCAAACCGTTCTGGGACAATGGTCAGGTTCAGCCAGGCTTACGTATGAAGCACTTATGTTGACAGAGTCACGATAACGTTTAGGCACCCAAACTGCGCGAATATAAGGCAACTATAGATGGGTACGAAAATCCTTCAAATGCTTTCTTTATTAGAACGTTTTCAAGTGCCTATAGGCAGGTTCATATGGAGTATATTCCATTCCCTTTACAGAAAGCGATTTCATCAGTGATCTTTACTATGCAGTGCTTTGTATTAGACCATTGTTCAGCACAAAAGACGGCTTTGGCAATGTTCGACCGGCTCTACTCCGTATCTTGGCAGATCCCTCTCCCTCCATACGAACATTCATAACTGCTACTTACTGCATTCGGAACGCAACCTTTTATCCTACTAGGATCTAGGCCCCAACAGGGGTAACGGCAGCTTGTGCTAGCGCAACACTTAAATGCAAGGACCGCAGCGCTCTAAATCAGGCATGACTATGCGGCTGGCCAACCAGCTTCTCGGCTTTGGCAGAGCGGCAGCCCACAATCAGATCGAGTAGGGGCCATTTTAAGGAGTCCGGAGAATATCTGAGAGGCGGACTTGCTTTCTCTAGGCTAGTATGTTAATAATCAAAAGATGAGCTGCAGCTTATTCCGATTCAGCTTACACAGAGGCCATATGCACGTAACTCAAGAAGGCGCCTCTTCGCGCGGCTGTAAAAATCACGAGGATAAGCAAGAGCCTGGTGGTACAAGTTACCATATATGCCGCGTTGTTATACCACTGTCAGGATAATCTGTACTTACGCTTGTGCAAGCCTTGGCAAGCCTCTTCCTTACTGCCAAGGTACAGCTATTTTATACCGCTTAGAGGAAATGGGGGATTGCGACTTATGCCACATGCATATGGAATCCGTTTACTCACATTAAAATGATTTCATCTCGTGACTCGCAACATATTGCCTCGCAAGACTCGGTAGTGGATTACTGTTTTCTAAGTAAGATGCTAGGATAACATGGGCTTCGGGACAACAAGCTGCGGACACGAGCTCCGGACAGTTAGACATTACAAATACTCAGACTTTAAACATCTGGGGGCGAGAAGTTACATGTATATGGTTTTTGGAGCACAAATTCCAGAGATGGCGTTCCAGTTCATTTGCAAAATTCGGATTGGGGCACGTAGGCCACACAACTACTACAGACAAAAGCAAGTCTCAACAGCTAAAGGTACAGCTATGTAAAGTCCAAGCAGAGTAAAGCAGAATGATTTCTATACCATCAAAAAATTAGTAATGTACTGCAGTATCGAATACTGGGACATTGACGGAGAAATTGTTCAATCCTTTTCAATGGCCGCATAGAGCATCAGCATGGCGTAACATCAACTACAGGTACCCGCTGGTTACCGAAAGTCAGACCAAAGGGATCTACTGCCGACAAGGATAGCCTTCCCACGCCCGGGTTGTGGCTAGGTCTTCCCGCTGCCTACTTCGTTTGCCAAATATGGCAATAAATTGAACAAGACTCGATTTGATTCAGATGAAGGATCAAAGTGGATCTGGGATCTAGATGGTTGTAAGTCTGCTACGGGGTTCTCGTCAATGCGTTCTTGGCAAGCGGGTAAGATAACATGCTTACATAGCAATGGCTACCATGAGGGTAGAAACAAGGAAAAGGAAAAAGAGGCCTGGGTTGTTCTCACGATGAAGAACTCTGCGATTATAAAAAGGTCTGGGAATTCCAATCGAACTGTTGCCATCAACCAATTTCAACTCATTGACGTCTGCCTCATTTTAGGAGACAATCGAAACCATGTCTGTTACAGTGGCACTCGGATCTTTGCCTGCCGAAGCAACGGCAACAGAAGCCAACTTTAAATTGACTTCCGCTGCTCCCCCTCGTCCTGTTCCTGTTCCCTCAGTTTCTTTGACGGTTGGAGTGGACGCCGCAGCTTTTGAGACTGCGTCCAAGATTCTTCAGGTCATAAACAGGTACGGCCTGAAGCGATCTGCTGATACGACTGCCAAGTCGGATGAGGGCGCTTTGAAATATCTTGCCCTCATTTACTCTCATGTCAAGGCTGGCAATGTAGTACCTATGTGCTTACCAGGGTTTCCATTCAAGTCTCCCAATTCGCGCGACAAAGTGTTGGGCAAGCTGCCTGACAGGGCCGAAGAGCTGTCACTAGCACACCTCAATGGCCTCTGCCTCTCCATTAAGGATATATACCCTCCTGGTGCACAACTTACCATCATTTCAGATGGTTTGGTATACAATGGTACGCCTCTGTGAAAATCCTTTCTTTCATACCAGTCGAATGACATACTGACCTCATAACGCTTAGACTTGCTTGGAGTCTCTGACATTGACGTATGGAGATATGGGCAAACTCTGAGGGCCATTGCCACAGCCAAGGGGCACAAACACATCTCCTTCTCACGGCTTCAAGACCTTGTAGCAATTGCACTGCCTGAGCAGCTGGACGAGATGACTTATGTCGCAAATGCATCAAATTTCCGACGAGCACTGCTAAACACCTTTGGCCGAGCTGACTGGAACTGGGAGACAGCCAGCCAGAAGGAAGACGTCAGTTTAACGTACAAGGGGTATATTAAGGCCCTGGGAATCGACCTCCAAAATGTATACGACATCAAAGACGACGCTAGTAAGGTCAAGTTCAGGCAAGGAATTGAATACACGGCTCAGCAAATGCTAGCCCGTGGGGATGTAAGCATCCACTCTCCCACTCGACTTCATCTGATGCTAATATTAATATCAATAATACAGGCATTTGCCAATGCCATTGGGCAAAAGTACAGCGAGTTTGTCCGTTTGTCTATCCATGCGTCCACTGGAGCGGCCAAGCTCTCTATCAACTTGCTGCCCACAGAGTCTAGCTACACCACCCCTTGGCATTGTGCCGTCGCGTACAAACTGGACGGCACCACGACGACCGGACGAAGAATTGACTTTGATAATGATGACCAGTACGAACTTGTCTATGAGAATGACAGACCTAGTTACTACCGCGAGAAATCGCCCCTGTTGTCATGGGGCACAGAGAAAGGCGGTGTTGTTTTCGAGCCGATCTATCCAACTGGCTGGTTCGTCAGGCCTGCAAAGGGTCCTTGGAGCATGTCCTTGGACGACATCGATGCCGAAAAGGTCCGCGCATTGTGCGAAGTCAATTCTCCTGTTATCCTTCGTGGCTTTGTAAAGAAGCCAAGCAAGGAAGAATTCTCCAAAAAGTCTGAGCAATTCGGCAAGCCACTCAAGTGGAACTTTGGCATCCTCTTGGAGGTCAAAGACCAGGGATCAGACACCCGAGGTCTAAACAACGTGCTCTCCTCGGAGGCAATGCCGGTAAGATGCTGAATCGTTAAGCGCAGTGCGGCCTCGAGACCTTGTATTAACCATGTTTCTCCCCACCAGTTCCACTATGACGGTATCTTTAGGACTGTGAGGCAAAAGAATGAGAATGGCGAAGAAGTGCGCGTTTCAACGCCACCTCGGTGAGTTGTGACGGCAGCCTCCAAGTGGTCGTGAGGATGAAGACTGGCTAATTTGACCTTTGCATCCAGATTCCAAATATTCATTGGAGCCACATCGTCTCCAAAAGATACGGGCTATACGCTTTTTTCGTCGTCTACACACATCTTCAAGCTTCTCCCAGAGTGGTTGAAGCTCGAAGACATGGCCGCAATGAACTGGACAGTCTCAACAGACGCCTTTCGCAACATTGTAATCAGGGACCTCCCACTAATCAAGACGCATCCAACGACGGGAAAGCCCTGCTTGAGATATCACGAGCCTTGGGCAAAAACGGAATTTCTTCCAACGGATGTGAGTATTGATGGACTTGAAGCAGCCGACAGTGAGGCAATCTGCCGAGCCATCACAACGGCGTTGTACGACAGACGCGCCACTTACTTTCACAGTTGGGATAAGGGGGATGTTGTCGTAAACGATAACACGCTGATGCTTCATACGAGGAGCGAGTTCAAGTCTGGAATGGACCGAGAGCTTTGGCGAATTCACTTTGACTAAACAGTGATTTATTGCTGTTTGATTGATCAAATAGATGGAAAGGCCGTCAATTAGACTATATAGAACGGAAGAAAGTGTTTGACTTGCTCATGAAACGAGTACATCTTGGTGTTGCAAACGGATGGGCGTGTTGCATCAGGTCGCCTGCAATTGCAAAGGGGTGAATGATACGATTCGGTCTCTCGGGCGACAACTAGAATGAAGCGGCCATGGCAGCCTTATAGATAAAAGAATGTTATTCATTACAAGCAACTTTTGTTAATATCTTGATTCCAGCAAAATATAGGCGTGAACATTATATTCGCAGCACACTGTGTTTGTGCGCCACTTGTGACTGCGCTTGAAACTTATAGTGCGAAACGGGTGCACGCTTGCCTGGTGCAGGTGCCTGTGCTGCCTAAATTGGCGGCGTTTATAGCGGTCCTAAGCCCCAGTAAAAGCCTTCTCGCTACTGAGTCGATTCACGGTTGCCGTAGCATTCTTCACTTCTTTCGACTTGCTCTTTGTGACGCCATGAGATTGCCATGTCGACGTTCAATGGCCTTGTCCGCGAGTTTCCGGATATCAGAAGTTTGCACAGCACCGCATCCCTTGGTGAATGAACGCTTCTAACATGCTGGCAGTCGACTACTTTCGACACCATGACGGATTATCACCACCATTGGCTTGCTTCCTGAGGTAGACTTATCCTCGAGACACGAGGTTTAGATACGCAAAGACATGCTGAAACGCCGATATAGTCACGTCCATTCAGACCATCTCTCCGGCCTGGAGACACTCCGGTCTCCATTGTGAGTTTCGGTGGAATACGCGGCGTTTAGCCAAAGCTGATTTGTTGTTTGCCAGTGTGTACTGCTCTGCTGCTACGCGGGAGATCTTGCTGCGTCTTGAGCGCTACCCATGCCGCATCAACTACAGTAAAGGCATTCTCGAAGCTCGTCAGCAGACTTACAAGCATTTGAGCAAGGTCATTGTATGTATCCCCAAATCAAGGATCCAAAGAGGACTATCTGGCGGCTAACTCTTGAGCAGAAACCACTTCCACTCGAAACTCCGACCATAATCGAGCTTCAGCCGGGAATTAATCTCCAAGTAACGTTATTTGATTCGAACCATTGCCCCGGATCCTCCATGTTCCGTAAGTGAAGCATGTTCCTTTGCAGCAAAGCCATACTCTGCTAATGTCACCAAGTCATCGAGGGGCATGGCAAGGCAATCCTCTATACTGGCGACGTTCGTTGCGAGCCATGGTTTGTAAACACCATTGCTCAAAGCCCAACTCTCATCGAGTATACTTGTGGCATCAAGACTCTAGATACCATTTATCTCGACACCTCTTTCACCGATGACATTCCCTTCCAGACAAAGGCTGAGGGCATCGCAGAGTTGCTACGCAAGGTCGCGCGGTATCCAAAAGATACAATATTCTATATACAATCTTGGACCTATGGCTACGAAGACGTTTGGATTGCTCTATCCAAAGCTCTAAACTCTCCCGTGGGTTATTAGCCCTCGCATCTCGCGATACTTCTTGCTAACGACAGACAAAAAGATCCATGTTGACGACTATAAACTTCGCATTTTTTCATCAATTGCACCTGCTCTGTCCGGTTTCATGTGTGGAAACTCTCTTCAAACCGGCTGCTTGACTGCAAATAAAAATGTGCGCCTTCACAGCTGTGAAAGCGGCAACATGTGTTCTATCGCAAGACAATCTTCAGTCGTCAGAATTCAGCCCGTCATCGCGTCATTTTCCGATGGCAAAGTCATCCACGAAGCAGGAATAGGAGGCGGCGGCGAAGACTTGGAGCGGGAGATGGAACTGGGAGTTGCCAGTACAAGCGATCTCCATAACCTACTCGAAATGTGCGTCCTGGTGATTTATAAAAATCGCCACTCAATATTTGAGGCTGACATCTTTACAGAATTGATGCATTGAAGAACACAACAGAAGAGGCCCGAACCGAGTGCACGCGACTCTTGACAAACGCATTAGCGAGCGGCCGCAACTTGCAACTCAACATCAGAGAAGACATCTACTTGACTGATTTACGAAAGGCCATACTCTCTATTGCAAAACAACATCTAAAAGCGGCCTCCTCTCTTACTGGAAACGAAGATCACGGCGGAGATGAGCTTCCAAAGGTTATTCGATTTCCCTACTCGCGACACTCCTCATACCCCGAACTTTGCAATCTACTTAATGCTTTCAAACCAAAGGATATTTGGCCCTGCACATTCCATCTTGACTCATGGCGAGAAAAGGGTGAGTTATTTTCGCGAGTCTAGTCGTACGGGTTTAAGACTTCACTAACGCATTCTTTGCAGCCATCTCAATAGAATCGCTCTTTGGACGATACTGCAGTGGCAATATATTCGCTCACGACATAAAAGTTAATGACCTTACAAAGCAGAATATCCAAACCACGGCTGATGAGCCAGATACTCAAAGACATGAGAGTTGTTCTCCCAGCGTATCCTCTCCTACAGGCCAAGCGTCGCCGAGGACATCCCACACATTTAGGCCCAAGGACGTTAATCGCATCACTGAACGCGATAGCATCTCTCTACAAAGAGAGTCTGGTAGATCATGCAATTATAAACAACGAAATACAAATGCAGAGAAGCCAGTGGAGCCTTTTGAAGAGCAAGTTGACGGCGCATCTTTGCTCATCCGAGAGTGGCTATCACAATGCCATACCGGAGATGAAAACGACTCGCAAAACACTGCAACATCCTTGACTCCGATACTCTCTATACGCCACTCACCGGCGAGGCTTGACGCATACAAGCGTATGCTTCAAAACTGTAGAGGAACTGAGTGGAACTCAATCGAGCTCATTTCAACAGGCTGCAACCACAGCGCTATAGAACAAGAGCTCTAGTTGCACATAGAGGAAAAGGAAAAGTCAATTCCGACTCTCGTGTTGCAAAACTAACAACTTTTTGACTCGGCAATAACAGTGTCAACAAGGGTAATAGCTGACATTACCGTATTAAGATAAATCAGATGAATCCTTCAACGTCAGGGCATCGCTCCGCATGAGACGCATCATACTAACTAAAAGGGGGCAGGTAAAGAAATCACTTAACCAAAAGCTGGATCGCACGTCTAACTCCTGTCATTAGTCTCTCCGTGTCTAACAATGTTCCTTGCCAACAGCAACATGAACGTGGCCGACTGCCAAAGGTATTACAACAGGGGTCTCAGAGTACATTTAATTATAGGACGAAAGATTTGGTAAAGATTTGACGATAGCTACGCCAGGCCTAATTGTTATACTTGCATAATAATATAGAGGTAATATTAATAGGAACTAATAATAATCTGAAACAACTTTTATAAATTGGAATTACTTCCTGTTAATAAAGTTAGCCATTACTGCAAAGGATCCCTGGTATAATTCTCTATGCGAATCATCATTCAGCATCCCATGTTCGTTATTTAAGAGGCGTGGCCCAACAAGGCAGTCAGTCCAAGCATAAAAATATTTGACTGCCATATACACTTGGAAGCAGTAGAAGCAGTAGATAAAAGTGACAAACTGCTTACATTCCGCTTAAAAGCTGGGTGCTAAAATCGTCGAAACAGAATGTATTCTGACGAGTCTTACGACTCGCAGGGTATCCAATCCATAGCATTGAGACTTGGACAAAGTCAGCGGCCCGGTATCGTCAAGTCAAGCCTCTCCAAAAGATCAACGAAAACAAAGAGCTCTATTAGCAGTTTTATATGCAGTTGCTAAATATTGTAATTGTTGCAGTGCCAATTATACCTTGACCCTTTTCCCGTGCAAATCCAGAGGCATATAATATACGTCTATAGGTTCATCCCAAAAAGCCCATCTCCTCCCAAAAACAGCCCTCCAACAGTGCCCTTCTCCTTCTCCCTCAGCAAAGCACCAATATCGACTCTTCCTCCCGTAATGTACTTCTCGCTCACGCCCAGATTCACCCGCTTGCTCAACTCCTCGCGCAGCTGTGCCCGCAGCGCTCCCATCTCAGCCTTGCTCAATTGACGAGCCTCCTTCTCCTTCTTCTTACGGCCTCCGCCTCGGCCACCCCAGTTGCCCGGCGCACTGCCATCAAACTCTTCAGAATCGTAGTCGACGCCCAGCTCCTCAGCGGCATTGCGCAGCCATTGATCCTCGCTGTGGCCCTTTTCCTTTGCCAAAACAGCATCCGCGATGCGCTTAGCGAGATCTACTCGAGACTTTAGACGCTGTGCAATCTTTCGATCGATTGACAGCGTCTCAATGAAATGCTCACGCTTGAGGCTGGTGCTGCCGTCACGCTCAGCATGTACCTTACCAGCCAGACGACGGGTGGGCAAGACCTCTTCTGGAGAGCACAGAATGACGCTCACACCGGTACGATCACCACGAGCAGTTCGGCCAGATCGATGAATGTAAGTATCCGCCTGGCGAGGCACATGATAATGCAAAACCTGATCCACCTCCTTAATGTCCAGACCACGAGCGGCCACATCAGTCGCGACGAGGATGGAGTTTTTGGAAGCAGCAAAGCGCTCTATTGATCGCAGACGAGCCTTCTGAATCATCTGAGAGTGTAGGGGAAGGACTGAGAGACCGAGGTTTTGAAGGAGGGGAGTGAGGCGGCGGACAGCTGAAATGGAGTTTGTAAAGACAAGAGTACGTTTGCCAGGATTGAGGACGAGGACTGTATATAGATAGAGATCCTAAAGACCAATATTAGCAAATGGGAGTCAAAACAATAAGTACATTTATATAATGCTCTCACCTTTTCCATAGCACCACACTCAATCAAGCCCTCCTTCAGGCCAGTAGCCATCTGTGACACCGGGTTGACGTCGATAAACTTGGGCTCGCTTCGAAACTTGAGGCACTTCATCAAATACTCCATCTTCTCCTCGTCGCTGCTGCCTGACCCAGCCTTCGGGCCCTTCCCTCTACCCGCCAACTTTGACTGCAAGTTCTTATCAAAAGTCGCAGAGAACACCAGCGTCTGTCTGGGCGGCAGCTCGTCGTCGTCGTCATCGTCGCCCGCCTCGGGGTCTTTTCGATCCAGTGCGCCGATAATATCCTCCGCCTCTTTAAACTGTCCTGCCTTGAATAATCTGTCGGCCTCATCGACAACGAGGAACTTGATCTTGGTAAAAGAGTTCTGGAGGCTCATATCGCCGTCCAAGACCTCCCATAGACGACCCGGCGTCGCAATGACAATATCCGCCTTTTCCAGCTGTCTCTGCTGCTTCTGAATGCTCAAACCACCAGTCACCGTGCAGACATACGGCGCCGTCGGCAATCCATCGCAGAGCGCCTTGATATGGTCCGACAGCTGCTTCGCCAACTCTCTCGTCGGACTGAGAACCACCGCCGTAGGGCCCTCGCGCTTCACGTTGCGCTTCTCCTCATACAGCTCCAGCCACTTCTCCACGATGGGGATCCCAAACGCCAGCGTCTTTCCCGATCCTGTCTGCGCCTTTCCAATCACGTCCTCGCCCGCCAGAATCTCCGGGATCGTCTTCTCCTGGATCAGCGTCGGCTTCGCGAATCCCAGCTTCGCAATCGCCGACAGGATGCGCGTCGAGAGGTTCAGCTCCACCCAGGCACCCATGTCTGCCTCTTCTTCTGCTGCTGCTGCGTCGCCCACGGCCACGAGGGCGTCGAACGAGTTGCCTTGCTGCTGCTGCTTGCGTGAAGCGGGCTTCTGTAGCTCTTTGTCGGCCGTCGCCAGCTTGCTGTTGCTGTTCCGCGCTTTTTGCTTCTTGTCTGCGTCCTTCTTCTCGCCGCCGGCCCTGTCTTTTCCTGCAGCTTTCGTTTTGCCGCTCTGGCCCTCCACGCCACCTTTAGAATCGCCAGCTTCGCCGGAATCGACATCCTCGCCTTCCACAGGGCCGTCCCCAAGCCCTTCAAAAGGCTCATCGACGGCATCTTGGGTCTCGTCTGCTCGGTCGTCTTGCTTGCTCGCCCCCTGTCGTTGTTTTTTGTCGGAAGAATCGGGTTGCTGCTGTTGCTTCTCCGCCACTAAAAACTGCACAGTCCCACCATTTCTTACCACATCGACTCCTTCAATAACTTCGAGGCCGCCGAATTCCTCCCCGACCGATTGCCAGCCGAGAGAAGCAACGTCGACCAGCTTGCGTGCAGGATTTGCTTTTGATTTGCTGCCGGACTTCGCGACAGCGCCTTTTGCGGAGTTCTTGTTGCGCTTCGCAGCCGGCGCAGCGACTGATTGAAGCTTTCGCTTTTTTGACGGAGGTACCATTGGGATTGTCTTGAAGAGGCGTAACAAGGGTTTTGGCCGTTTGTCCCAGTGCCAGATACCAGCGTCAACCGAGGTGGAATTATCGCCAGATTCTTGTTGAAACTTCAAAAGTTTTTTTTTTTTTTTTTTTTTTTTTTTTCCTTCCTCTTAGTTGCAGTATCTGCACCATGCCGGCACACTAGGCGCCGATCCACCGATCGATTCCGTGTTGTACCAAGTACCTGTGCCCCGCCAAAATAGGCAGCGGGCACCACGGCATACACAGAGAGTATCCTGTACCTTGATGCAGTTTCTCAGAACCACATCTCATCATCACTAGATTCAACACAGCAACAAGTCAGAGTCAGGCAAAGGTCACAGAAGCAAATCTTCAAATACTTGATGAAAAGAAAAAGAAATTCCGAGTTTGACCAGTAATAGTGCTAGAATACAGCGATGCATCCCCCAATGAGCCTCTCCATGTCCATTTTTTTATGTCTCTTAAGTCTTGTTTTCCCGCCTCCAATAATAGCACATAACACAATCATTTAATTAGATTCAAAGCCCATCCTCTCCTTCATTATGCATGGCAACCCTCATCCCGAAATATCTACCAATCTTCACCTGTTGCATATAGTGAAGCTATCATGTATGCCTCCCCTTAATGAGCTCCTCTGGCTCTCTTGGCTCCTGCAGCGGCTTCAGAATCGCCTCTTGGTCGCTTCGCTCCAGGCTGGAAATCAGAAGCATTTGGATTCATGCCGCCGCGGCCTCCACGCCCGCCTCCACGTCCGCCACGGCCAGCATGGCCTTGTCCGCCTTCCTGATTGCCACCTGCAGCTCGTTGGCTAGGTGGTACATAGGCTCCTCCTCGTCCACGTCCGCCGCCGCGAGGCATCGGAATACCAGATCGCACGGGCATTTGGCCCTGTTGCTGGGGTTGAGGTGGTATCTGCGGAAGCTGTGCTTGTTGTGGTGCTGGCGGCAAACTTGACGGTGCCTGGGCAGCTTGCGCCAATGGAGCGTTGGCAGCCGTCTCAGTCTTTGTGGCGAAGGGATTAGGAGCTTCAGAGCCGCTGGCCTTTGCAGGCACTGCAAATGGGTTTGAAGTCTGGGGTGGCGGGATTCCGCTGGCCGCTGGCGCAGCCAAAGGAGGAGCTGGAGCCTTAGACTCTTCTGTTAGAGGTTGAGCAGCAGCCTGTGCAGGTGCCGCTGCTGCAGGGGTTGGTTTTGGACCATCGTTAACGGGTTGGCCAGCCGTGGCTGCGGTAGGAGGGGCGACAGTCGAAGCTGGTACGTTGCCAGAGACAGATTGTCGCTTTGCCGGTGAGATGGCCGCTGGAGCTGGAGCCACCGCCGGAGCTGGAGCCGGAGGTTTGGCTGCTTGTGCTGGCGGAGGAGCCTGAGTCGACTTGGCCACTTCCCAAACTTCCACCACTGGCTTCTGCGGCGTCTCCTTCGCTGCCACCTCCACAACTCCAAGCTTCGCTGTTGCAGTCCTCAGTTTGTTCTCCGCCATATTGATACGTAAAGTAGATTTCTTAGATTCCATGAGCTGGGCTTGCTCGCGCGCAGATGTAATCTTGCTCTCATATTCGGATTTGATCCGAGCACTTTCTGCGTCCAATTTCTTGCGAATATTAGCAGCAATAATGTTCTTGACAGTCGCATTCGATGACAAAAACTGTCTAATGGATGAATCATCCAGCTGAGAGAGGTCGGGCGGTCCACCTGTGGCAGGAGCGGCAGTTGCCGAAGGCTCTTCGGTCTTTGATGATGTGCTTGGCGGTGCCTGTTCACCAGCGGGCGCTTCCTTTGCAGGGGCTGACCCAGAAGGGTTCTCGGCCTGCCAGATCAACTTCTCTTGCTCGAATCGAAGCTTCAAGTCTTCGTCCTTTCTCTTGAACTCTTCCTCGAGCTTAGCGCGGCTCTCTTTCAGCTTATTATTCAGCGTGTCCTTCATCCTATCCGAGCGCTCCTTGATGGTTTGCTGAATCTTCGCTTCAACTTCGTTGGCCTTCTGCTCATACTCAGCAGCCTTTGCTTCAGCTGCGGCCACCTTCTCTTCTAGTGATTTCCTCTCAGCATCCGACAACCCATTGGTAACGGCTTGACTCTCTGCGCCGTCAACGTTTGAGACAGAGGGCCCATCAGCAGATGGCGCACCTGTGGCGGCAGCTTCTTGAAGTTTCAGCAGCGCGCTATCACGCTCCGAGGTAGCTGTCTGCAGTTCGGTTCGTAACCTCTCTAGCTGCTGTTCCGCTCCTAGTTTCTGGGCGTTGACTGCTTCCAGTTCCTTTTGGGCGTCGGCAAGACGTTGCTCGAGCACAGTGACAACCTCCGACGATGCGGTCGCGTCAGACTGTGGCTGTTGGGTAGCTGATGGCGTAGTTGCAGGCTGTGTTTGCTGAGCCTGTCGGCGAAGCTCTTCAACCTTTTGCTGGAACGAGTGAACTTGTCTCGACAGCTCTGCCTTTTCTTCGCCGGACTGCTCGACTTGCTTCTGTGCTCCGGCAAGATCGTTGGTAACTTTGTCAAGCTGCTCCTGTAAGCTAATAGCTCGCTGATTAAGCTCATTCTTTTCGCCAGTGAGCTTGCGAGATCGGTCCTTGAACTGCTCTGTGAGTTTTGATCGAGTATTCAACCAGTTGGCACGTTCAGTCTCCAGGGTGGACTCAAGTTCGGTAATCTTCGCCTGGAGGGGCTCTGCGCCTTCTTTGAGAGCATTCCGTTCTGTTTCGAGGTCGGTAATTGTCTGTTTCAGTTGCTCCATCTCAGCCGGGTCAACGCGGCCATACTTGGTCAAAATACCCTCAGTCCGCTTCTGCCAGCGATCACGGTCTTCCTGAATCTGCTTAATCTCCTCTTCCAAGAAGGATTTCTGTGTCTTGAGGTTCTCAATCTCAGCTTCAAGAGGCTGGATGCTCTGGACCATTTCTTCGACTCTCCGGTTCTTCTCGGATATTTGATCCTTTAGCTGGTTGTTCTCTGTCCGAAGAGCCATGCTGCTCTCGCGATAGAGGTTGAGTTCGTGCAGCTTGTCCATGAGGTCTTTGTGAGCCATGGAGGTGTTGCCGCTCTGCGAAGACTGGCGCTCTTGGTCGAGCTTCAGACGCGTCTCATCAAGCTGTGACTGCAGATATTCGACCTGCTGCTGTAGTCGCTTCGATTCGTTGGTCTTCATGTCGTACTGGACTTCCAGGATCTCCTTCTCACGACGCAGATATCCGTTTAGCTCTCGCATGCCCTCAATAGCATCGCCTACGCCAATGGCCGACACGGCTTCGTCTGCATCGGCCTTGTCGCTACGGTTCTGCTGCATAGCTGCAATCTGGCCAGTCAAGCTCTCCAGCTGCTGATGCAGAAGCTTGTTCTGAGCGTTGGCATCCTCGCGTCTTTGTTTGAGTTCAGCCATCTCCTGCTCCAGCTGCTGCCTCCGGTCTTCCCATGAGCTTTCACTTTGCGCGAGCGCGACCTTGGCAGATTCCGCTTCGGCGCGCAGCGATGCTGACTCTTGTTTGAACTCGTTGTATTCGGTGCGAAGCTCTTGAACCAATTTGGCAGCCTCAGCGTGCTTAACAAGCTCCTTCTCGTAGTCCTGCTGGGCTTTGGAAGCAATCTCAGCTTGAGCACGCAAGTCCTGCTGATGGTATCGGGCAGCCTCAATGTGCCGGCTGCTTTCTTCCTTGAGCCGCTTCACTTCATCCTCCAATATCGTCTTCTCGTCTTCATACTTCCGTGCAACTTCGCCCTGGGAGTCACGAATGGTGGATAGTTCCGTGTTGGATCTTGAGAGCTCAGCAGACAAATCTTCAATCTGTTGGCCCAGCTCCTTGATTCTGCTGTCTTTCTCTTGAATGAGAACTTCAATCTCTTGTCTGTATTGGTCTTGCGATGCACGCAAGTCTTCCAATGCCTCCTCGTTGCTCTGGCTGAGTTCCTTGTACTGCTCAGCCTGGGCCTTTGCGTTTTCCAGCTGAGTGTTGGCCATGTCGAGATCACGCTTGAGGTCCGAAATGTCGTTGTTTAGATCTTGAACCTCAGCCTCGAGCTCTTGTTGGCGCAGGTTGTTGTCAGTCATGAGGCCTGGTCTGGGCGTGGGACGAGGCTGCAGACGGCCGGCACGCTCTTCGGCGCTTCGCAGCTCCACGGTCAACTCGTCAACGCGGGCTTGAAGATGATCACGGGTTGTCTTGGCGCTAACATGCTCTTCTCGAAGCTGGCTCAGACTCGTCATAAGGTCGTCAATTCGCTTCTGAGATTCCTTAGCTTCGTATTCCTTTCTCTGTTGCAGGTGCTGAATATCATCCGAGGTTTGAGATAGCTTCTTTTGCACAGTGCTCAGTTCAAGCTCCAAGGATTCAATCTTGGCTTGAGCCTTGCGGCGAGCCTCAGACTCGGTAATGTTGCGCTCGTTTTCAAGAGATTGCTGAGCCGTCAAGAGGTTACCCAATCTATTCTTCTCCTCAATCAAAGAATCGTTGTCCTTGCTCATTCGCTCTTGGATATCCTTCCAAAGCTTCTTCTCCGCCTTAAGGTTGGCTGTTTCGTTTCGCATGCTGTCCAGGAGGCCCTTGACTTCAACAAGCTCTTCAGCAACTTGTTGGACACGAATGTCCTGCTTGGCAGCCGTTTCAGACAGGATTTGAGTTCTCTTCTGGAGCTCATTGTTCTCGTTCTGGAGGGCAAGATAATTGCTCTGCAGCATCTCTCGCCGCTCAGATTCCAGTCTGGCCTCACCCTGTAGTTTGATGTTGGCAGTCTGAAGCGAATTCTTCTCTGCTGTCAAGTGGTTGATTTGATCCCTAAAGTCCTTCCGTGCACCATCCTGGGCGTCTCTGAAGCTGTCGTATTCGGACTGAATTTTGCGTAAGGCTTCTGTCAACGTCTCAGTCTGCTCCACGGACTCGATACTGGTTACCGGCATCCCCCCTCCGATAGAGTGGCGCATGAGGGAAGAAGGATCTTCGCCCGCACCACGTTGCTGAAGAAGTCGCCGGAACATATCACGCTCCATCTTGTAGCTCTCCATTGTGATTTTAGCAGACTTGATCTCTTCCACCATATGAGCGAGATCCTGCTGTAGTTTCTCGACCAAGTCATGAT